GCTTATTTTTATGATTGATTCATTATGCAATATTTTACAAACTTGTAAAGTTAATGTGAATATTTAATATAATTAAATGAAAAAAATTATATCAGCAAATTAAAGATGTAATGATTTATTAAAGCGAATGGGTACAAAATTTGAATCAGCGCACTACAGTCTTAACGTAACAAACTGCAACTTGATTATGCTGGAAAAGTTCTAAAAAAACAAAATGTACGAAGAAAAATAAATTTCAAAGGTTATTTAAAAATCGTATGAAATTATTACACACACATTTAAAAATTTTAAAATTTTTTTTTTGAATTATTAACATAGACCCCAATTGCATTTTTACATCGATTTACAAAGGCTCCTTCGTTTTTGCTGTTCTAAAAAATTTTAAAGTTTTTTTTTTGGTTAACTCCATTTAGTTTCCCGTCTAAATGACAGGAATTTAAAAATTTCCCTTTTACTCCTTTTTTTTTGTGTTTGTTTTTTCTTCATTTTTTTATATAGGAATTGTGAAATCGTTCATTAAAGAAAAGGTTAAAAAAAAACCCGAATCGGACTTGATTCTTTTCCCCTTTTGTTAATTTCAAAAAATAAATGAAAAAAAATATATTAAACAATAGGGTTTAAATTAATGTTTTAAAAATATTTCGCAGCAATATTTAAAATGGAATCCTCTTTTTGTAACTACAACACAAATACAACGCCCGAGTGTAGACTATTATTTATCAGTCTTTCAATCCTTGAAGAAGTCTGTTTCTGAAACATATTTTATAAAGAGAATCTTTTAACCAACATTACATGTTTCACGAAAAACTTTTGTAGAAGAAAAATGCTGTGCTATGCTACATGACAAATATGGTCTATGTCTTAAAGTTTTACACAGGAAGATTTGAAATTTGCATTCCTATATTTCATTTTAATGACCTCTATAACTTCAGGGCCGGACAAATGTTGACTCCAAGTTCACGATTTATTTCATTTGTTGGGGTTCACAAGGTGATGCTGCTTTGGGAATTGTTATTTTGTAGGAACAGAGTTTTTATTACGAACTATTTACTTTAAAGTGATTTAATGCTCATTGTGTTCCAGTCAAGTTTAGTTGAAATAGCAACGTAATCTAAAATTATGATAATTATAATAATGCTATTATTGATTATGTTAAATTGTTAATGATACAAAATAAAAACGACATTAATCATAAAAAGACGCATTCACTCTTTTTAAGACGCTAAGCTAGCTGGTGCATTTCTAATGTTAAATTGTTAATGATACAAAATAAAAACGACATTAATCATAAAAAGACGCATTCACTCTTTTTAAGACATTAAGCTAGCTGGTGCATTTCTAACGGTATTTTTTTACATTTCCGCTGGTCAAATAAAATTTGAAAACAATTATATACGAGGGCGTCCTTTTGCCAGTTCAAAATATCTTATAACAAGAAGAACTCCTACGTAGAACTTTATAAGTCATACACAGGACTTTATTACTCCCACGTAGGAGACCTTAAGTTCTTATTAGGCCTAATCTGAGCACAAATAGCATCTCTGGCTTCACAATGTGTGTTGTTTCTAATGCGATTGTGGCAATAACAATATGACATATAGAAATTATTATTGACATGTAATATGCTTCTCAAACAGTTATGCTCTAGCTTTCATATATGTTGCATTCTGTATTTCCGGCACTTTGATATGAATCCTACGTAAGAGTTATAAAGTCATTATTTGGCCTTTTCTATCTCTTACGGGGATGCAGTTAATATACTATTTAAACCTTACTCTGTATTCTGCATGTCACGTCGTTATGGTTATTATCAATGCCAGTTAGTTTAAATGTCTTTCTATCGATTAAAAAAACAGTGCTAACACGATCTTGCTTATGGATGGACAGACGACTAGATACATAACGATATACGCTATCTTTTTCGACGTTATTAAAATTAAATTCCAATCCTTTGTTATCATATTGCAAAATCATTCAGTAAATTTTATGTGACAGACAAAGATTAAATGCATTCGCTATAGTGGCTGAATTTAGCCATATCGTATTTTTAACACGATATCACGCCTGCGAAACAGTGGCTCTTTCACTTATTGGTGATCTTATCAAATGAGAGCTCTCGACACTTCCATTGTAGAGCCTTCGACGTAACAAAGCTGAAAAAGGTAAAACACAGTTTTCTTAAAAATATCCTTTTTTAAAAAAAACATGTTTTTTTCTAAAAATTAAAGGGGGAATGCTTTTTCCCCACGAACAATTTTGTTTCACATTAGGTTTGAAATTTTTCGATTCAAAAATTCCCCCAAAAGGGAACGTTGCTAGAATTTTCCCATTTTATTCTTGTGTTTATTCGGGGGGAAAAAGATATATAAATGAGTGATTTCTTTTATTAAACTTAATTTTTGGGCCCACAAAATATTGCAGCAATTTTTTGTCCTTTTCGAAAAACCTTTTTTCAACAACTAAAAAATTAAAAAGATATGGGTTTTTAAAAAATAAAAATTTTTTAAATTTATTCAAAATTATCCAGCCTTTAACCCGGGCTAGCCCCATCAAAATGTAAAAGGCCCAAAATTTGGGTGGACCCCTTGAAAATTAAAATCAGTGTCGATTTTTGGGTTTTTTAAACAAAATCTTAAAAAATTAGGGTTAAGTGGTAGGCTTTTAGAATTTTGGCACACGACACCGGCGAAAAAATCCAATAAAAGTATACACACCGAAGGACCAAGTTTCACAAAGCAAATCAAATAATCTTGATCAAAGTCACCATTTTTTTTCAAAGTGAACATTCTACACTAAAGTAAACATTAAAAAAGAACATTAAATGTTTTATATTATTTGCTGAATCTAAGTTTGTGCTACATTATTAATTTTGCCCATGAAATATGGTGCTATATCGGTCCAAAATATTTCTTTTCTTAAAAAAAAATAAATATAAATATGAAAGTGGGTGGAGTCAAAACTCATATTTATTTTAAGGGACTTCTTTTGCCAGTGTGTTTGAAAAATCTGATAAATACAAACAAATTTTGTTGAATTTTGTTTTGAAAACTATCAAGAATGAAAGAAAAAAGGTCTAACTAAGAAAATACATCCGAACACCAATATCTTTAATTCAGTCATTAACGCTGTACAAACATTTAAAGAGTTGTTTACGTGACGTCACAATGTAGCGCCAAATATCGCGTGCAAAACAAGACGCATCTATAAATAATATTATATTACTGCGCGCTGTACTATTGCAGTTACGTAGCAAGCAAGGAGTTCGTCACCATTTTTCTTTGATAATGTAATTACATAATAAGGTTATTTTTTCGTTTTTCGTGAAATATGGTATATATTTTCATTCAACATGATAAAATGCCACACATTTTCACTCGCTGTCCCGGCTCGTGAAAATATGTGGCATTTTATCATGTTTCGTGAAAATATATTCCATATTTCACTCAAATGAAAAAATATCCTCTAAACATTTCTTAATATCTCACCGCTTTTTGTTGTTTTTTTTTGTTTTTTTTTTTTGGTATTCTCATTATCAGTATTATACACAATTAAAAAAGAATCCTCTTTTTTGGCAAAATTTTCCCCAACTCGACTGTGAAGAACTGGAAAGAATGATCGTGCATTCCGACCATGCATACGGAAAATATGTGTCAGGTGTATAATCCTATCAGTCAGTCAAGCTCGTCCGAAAGATATGATCATGTATTTTAGCACCTTTTTCTCAAAGATTCCTATAATGGTCTCATTGGCACGCGTGCATTAAAATAGTTTCTTCACAAAAACCGACGTGCATACATATTAAGTATCATTCAATGAATAACTGAATTCAAAATTTATAGTCCACCTTTTGGTTGATAATAAGCATTTAAGGACATGAATGGTGACATGTCCGGGGTTAGTGCCTGAGAAGATGAACCCTCATAAAGCATAGAAAACATGCGTACATAAAAAAAGCTATCTAATTCAATTTGGAGATTCTTTAGTCAGTCAATGAATATAAATCGGGATAATTCCACAATATCGACACTAATTATATGTTTGTACTGGCTCCATCACATTTGCAAGAGGTCTTTCACATTGCCAATGGCGCCTGTACCGTGTCGACACGATCACATTTGAACAAATGTAAATATTATATTTTTAACAAAGCTGTTTGAAATATTTTTTATGTTGAGCCAAATGGTAGGTAAGGATCATGCTCCATGCTCGATAAAAAATCGGGCATACATTTAATTAAAGGTTAAGAAATCACTACAGATTTGTCTCAACGTAACAGAAAACACACACGTTAATATTTGGTAAAAGTTCTAGCAACGTCAATTTGGGATATTTCGTCTTGAAATTGCATGCAAACTGATGAGGAAAATGTTCTACTTGGCATAGCATTTTTCGATTTTTGAAAAACAAGCATTAAAAAACTGATATTTTTACAATCTGTGTTAACATGTTTCTGCTTTCTTTTGGTCGATGGTTCTACAACGGAAGGTTCGAGGGCACTCATTTAAACAGATAACTTAGTCGTATTTTGCACCCCACGGAAAGAAAGTAAGAAAAAAGTTGACTTTGCTGTATTATTGTACCGGTATTTTGAACTTGCCCAACGCGGAACAAAAATTATAACAAAATGCGACATGGACAAATCAGCTACATTATTGACAGAAATGTTTATTGTAAAATTTTTAATTCAATAAAATGTATAGTTTTTTTAAGTTAAAAAAAACACTGAATAAATACAGTTGACTAAATGCAAAGATCAAAATAAAAGAAACTGCTTCATGTAGAATTATAAGACAAACGTACCTTTATTGATTCATATGCATTCAGGAAAAGAGCTATGAAGAGATTGATGCCAAGAACTGTAAATATAGCAACGAATGCTACAACGTATAACCTTGAAAACCACCGCACCCAGTAACCACCACTCCATTCGGACTCCAGTAGTGCCAGCGTGGTGTATATCTCGTCACCGTTTATAATAGAAAATAACGTCTCTGCGGCATCTGACGGTGTTTTAAACTATAGTAACAGAAACAAAGAAAACGTCTTATGGTGAATAGATAATTATGATGACCCCATTCATGTCGAAAATGTCAATAAACCATTATATTAAAAAGACATAATACAGACTTTAGAAAAATGTATGTAAACTGGTTAATAAATTGATTTACTCAGTAAATATATATTAATTTCGAATACCAATCGTAACTACGTCTTAAGTTTTCATCTATTCGTGTTTTAACGTGCAATGATATTAATTGAACAAACCTTGACATGGTACGGGGCCATGACGATATACCCACAGAAAAGGAAACCGACAAACAACACACTTACACAAATAAGGTAAGTAATGATATCCGGACATGATTTGTATATCGTTCTGAATAACAACTGCAATAATACAGAATATTAAGTTCTTTATAATCTACAATACATAAATAAATTTTTAATTAATTTTCTGTTAAAATGATAATTGAATATTAAGTAGAATTTGATGATAACTTAAAATAAAGGATATCATATATGTTCTTACATTTTTCTTTTTTTGTGTTTTAAATTTACGTAAGACCATCCCTAATAGGCACTGTAAATTTGACAAAATATGACAGTTATATGCCTTAAAGTTCACCTGTGTGCAAAAAAATCTATAATATCATCATTATGAAAAATGATTTCCTATTGCTCATTATTAAGAAACAAATAATAACATTCAGGTAACAAATTACACTAGCAAAATGATTGTTTCCCTTTTAGAGTTGAACCTATGCTCCTCAGTTTCAATGCAGTTGGCAGTGATTCTTGACTATCTGAATATTCTTCAAAGTGGAGGTAATGCATTAGGGTTGGTAAATAGTCACTATTATAATCTTCTTCTACTTCAAACAATAAATTGATACAACACAATTCAAATGTGAAAAGGGAAAAATAAAAAAGGAAGAAAAAAGTATAAAGCGTCAAAACGGTGTAACATTTCAATTTGAAATAATTAAGTTAAACATTTTATAGAACCTTATCTTTTATTTCATTTTTTTGTAGTTGGTTGGAGTATGCATTATCACAGACTTGGGGAAACAACTCTATTTTATACTCACGTTGAATCTTGAATAAAACTCGAAGAACCTCAGCAAACTTAGCCATGCTAGCAAACTACCTAGTCCCAACAACATGATGTATAAATCTAATTCCTCGAGCAACCATTCGCCATGCTTAAATTATAAATGATGTTATAAATCATTGTTGCAATCATCACGATTTGTACTCTCAATCCAGTTTCATATTTAACGAACGATAGTTTTGTCTAACATTTTACAATTGAAAATAATAACATTGAACAATTTTATGTAGGGGCGTCAGTGGCCCAGTTGTTCAGGCCGTTAACCTCAAACCACCTGCCCCTTACCGCTGTTGGTTCAAATCCATCTAGAAACATGGACTCTTTCTTGTGAGACGGCTATCCAACTAGCTTGCAGAGCGACGGTCGTTCTACTTACTTCTCCGTTCGTTCCTGAATTAATGCATGGAAGGGCACCTGTGGTCTTTTTCCACCAGATAAGCTGAAAAATCGTTATAAGACCTCTGCCGTGTTGGTGCGACTTAGCCCCAACCACAAAAAATCAACATTTTTACGACATAAACAATGCTAACGTTTGATTTATGATACTTTAATGTAGGCGATTATGATTTTATTGTTTTCTTATCATATAAACCGTTTGGTGAGAAGGCATTTGAATATATTCAATGTTACTGATGACGAAACGTCAGGCAAAGTAAGACTGCACTTTACTAGAAAAAGTGTACACATAAGATAAAGAAAATCTTATAATGTATTATACCTTATCATTATGAACTATCAAAAAAGTTCCAATTGAAGTACAAATATCCGACAAAAAAGTGATTATATCCCAAAATGGAAAGAAGCGACAGTACTCTGATGTTGGTAGATCCTCATTGTCATCTTTGTAGTGAGTCTTGTAGTGTTTTTTCATATATTGTTTAGTTCTCTGAAAAAAAGAAAAGAAACACAACAAATACTAGCAACAATAAAAAACAAAACACCATTTTTTCGAATATCTTAAACGCCACGTTTTATCATTTTCCCACTATCTTCGACCCAAGAGCACTTATTTCATTGGTAACTTCTTCCAATATATTTTTGGCACGTACATGAATGTGTTGTTTCATTTTGCTCCTCAAATGGGATACTTGTCAAACATTCTAATTTGAAAGTGAAACGATTATTACGACTTGTTATTTTTTCAACTGTCATAGAGCATCTTGTTAAACCACAACATCTACAAGATAATACTTTCCTTGGTAAAGCAATGAAATACACAAATTATGAAAGTTACACAAAATGGTGGACTTACACGTATGTAGTATCATTCGAAACAGCCTCGGCTATTATCTATAATAACCTCGGAAACAATACAGATTGAAAGTAGTTCTACCACGTGGTTTTAGATGTAAACAGAAACAGAGATAATGTAAAACAAATGTATATATTTGACATCTAATGTCTGTTCCGGTACTCTTATGCTTGAAAATATGTCTGACAACAATTTGTAATTTGAATATGCCAATTATTGATGTTCAATTTCAAACAATTCCGACTAAATGTCAACAGGTTGGTTTTTTGTACTTACGGTTTCTACAACCATAAAAATGAATATATAAATAATGTATCGTTTGATTTTGTGCCTATGAATTCACTTATTTTAGGTGGTCTTTTACTACATATATTGGAAATAAACTTGTCAACAACTCTAAGCATTAAATTACTATCTGTTTACATGTTTAGTTTCTTAGCGTAGGTTAGACCGAAATACCGCATCCGTTCTGTGTATTCATACTATTTTGTTCGAGGTCGTTATCCGAAGACTGACGGAATGGGCCGAGTAGTTGCGATTGATGTAGTTTTCATCAATTAACATTCAATTTGAGGATTTTTACCAAAAATAGTTTTCTTTTCAAATTTGTGATAAATATATCTAATATTTTGAATGATTGACTAAGACGATGAATGTCTTTTAAGGAGATTTGATTCTGACTATTTAGCATTAAATAATATTTTTGTGTGAATTCTCAATTGAGTTTTTATTTTAATTTACCAAAACTTTCACCAGATCACGGTTGTACACTGTTGTATTTAATGACAATTGGTGTAAATTTTGGACATTCACGCAAAAAAAATAATAGTTTTTTATTGTTGATTTGATATTTGTCGTACCACAGGACCCTTTACTGAATATTTATTTGGATGATATTCCACAAAATTCTGTGGTCATACATATTTTTCACCACATGGCACGCTGTCTAATATTAATTTGTTACACGCTTAATATTGGACATACACAGTACTATTGGACGCCTATCTCTACTGTTTTAAATATATAACGTAATGTTGTCTTATAAGTAATTTATATTGATTATAACCATTTTTACAAACTTAATGTTGCCTTAGAAAGAATTTTGGTAGGTAAAGTCCTAAACATGCTACACATAAATAGGCTTATGCGGCTTAACATGAACATAAGCGGCACGGTAAAAATGGTATATATACACACTAAAGAGTATGAGCAAATACAAGAACACGAATGTTAAAAAAGAAATAGGTCCCTGTAGTTCTATAATTATAATCAGCAAATATGATTGCTCGAAAAGGAAAATGTCTAACGCATTTAATAATAAAGATAAAGCAAAAGTAATTACACAGTAAGTACACAGCACAAACACCAGGTATACAACAGTCAGCACGATTGATGAGAAAGACAGTATAATCACCGAAACCCCAACGTGAACTGTAGTGTGTTGTAGTTGCCAGTCTGTAATAAAGTACTTAAAGTTTGATATCTTAAACTTTAAAACATTGTTCCACTATTCCTGAACAACTGATATAAATCACCTGTACAACTTTTTTAGGTGTAGTAACAACATTTAAAAACCATGCCCAAACAAATCCTCTGCACAAAAGACTAGAGTAAGGATTATCCGGAATATTTAAATTCATGTCTATAGTACATTGTCATTCTATTCTTGTGCATTTGTTTGAAATCACATTTGACACATCATATTTCAATTAAACGAGCAGAAATGATGATAATATAGAATTATATCATCGGCATTTGAAAACGGTCAACTACTGAAGGGGAAATTTACAGTATTAATCTCCGTAAGTAACACATTTGTACATTTTTATTTATTTTGTATTTTATTTTTTATATCTTTTTTTTGTTTATGTCAGCTGAACAAGGAACTTTATATTTACGACTATCAAGTTAAATGCTAAAATCAAAAAGAATACATAAAAAATCCAAGTTGGATTACAAACTTTCATAACAGTATGCGTTTTTATGAAGTAAATGAATATTCAACATACTTTAGAAACAATGTGTGTCAGAAATTTATTTCTTTTTACTCACCTGATATTGATAAATTCATATCTTTGCAAATGATTCTTTTAGAACTTGTTTTAAGGTCAACCAAAACTTGCCCATTATTGTCGTTATCTGCAAACTCTAACTGAAATAGTAAAGTCTTCAGCTTTAAAAAAAATCTCCAACTTCCAAAACAACGTTATTCGGCTGCGAATGACACGATCTATTTATTGACACGAGTCATCAATAAAAACACAAGTACATCACGCGGCCACGACTTAGTAACTCGTGGCCACGACATAGTATCTCGTGGCCACGAGATAAATAAAAACACATACATGTCACCTTTGTGCCATAGTATAAACGAGCAATACTGCCTGTATGTAAACAAGACACATGGTGTCGGATTGCTGGTTCATAGGATTGCTGGCACATAACGACATTGCTGGCATATAACGACATTAACTGAAGCGTACCGCCATCTCACAGTATAAAACGAGCACTACTAGTACGGTAGTGCCGTAACACTTTCCCTTTAAGCACATTTTAACAGACATTCGTTTAGGTAGCATTTTATTCGACTCTTCTAAAGGTTTGCTGTGCACTGCTGACCATTACTTCGCAGCCATTTTACGCTAGCGTAAAACCTCGCTTATCAACTATTTTGTCAAATATATCTCTTGCTAGGTGACAAAATATTATTGAAATGTGTAGTTATTAAATCTTTAAAAAACTTATTTTACATACGCTTTGGTATGAATATCTCAATATTTGTCACCAAACAAACTACATATAAAAATAAATCAAATGGAAAAAATAAAGATAGTTCCACACGGCTAACTGTATGTTTCTGAGTTGTTTTGATTAAGAAATGTGACATTTATGACACAGTCAACGCCTGCCAGCACTGACTTAAACTGAATTCATCAGAAAGGTATGACAATATTAAACATACTTGCAAATGTTCTTACATATATTTTGATATTTGGTAATAGATCAGGACAAGCGGCGTTTTGTACTTTTGTACCTGAGTGAATCATTGTGTGTGCTCTAAACTAGAACAAAATAGGCGGAAGTAAAAGAAATATAGGAGGGGATCTTATGTTCTGAAGACTGAAAATCACAGACAAGTGTCATAAGACAAATTTGAGTATGGGCAACATACGGTGATTACACAGTGTAACTGTAACATTACCGAAACCACTTCACAAGAAAAAGATTACATTGATGGAACTTAATAAAACATCAAATTCATGCTAAAATATCGTCATTTGATACAGATTTAATTATTCAGGGGGGAGTTTATTTATTAAAATGTGCGACATTCCTTCTATAGACGGATGCATAACAGAACTTCTGTTAGCTTACTCACCTCACCACCTTTCAACAAATGTACATTTTTGTCAAAGTGTATATTATGTATGCTTTATCAGTCAATAAAAACAGTTGCGTTCATGTGATCTGTTGTAATTAAGGGGAATGCGGATAGATAATTAAATGAATTGTAAAATATATATATCTGATATACAATTAAACAAAGTTCCAAATGCATTTATGTCATAAAAACGTGCACTTACACTTCCCTCTATTCGTAGACATGTTCCTTTCATGCTGTCTTCGTTGGAACGTACAGAATGGAGTTTAAAGTAAAGTATTGTTGACAACATCCTGTCAATAATATGTACATAAATTATAAACAATTGAAATCTTGTTAGTCTTCACGAATAGTATGTGATGAGTAGACGGCCACAACTAGCCAAACATGTGTTAGAATCAGCGTAAACAGATAAACAAAGTCAAAATTCTGATAACAATACACTGATATAATATAAAGTTGGATGTTTAACAGACTGGGTTTCGTTAGAACTTTGAAACAACTCGATATAATCAATGTTGTACAAGCAATGTTTTTGTATAATGCCTTCTTCACAGTAGACCACAACGGAACATCAGATAGATCTAAGAGTATTATAAAAACTTGCATCGAACATTATACAAAACAAAACAAATGAATAAAAAATAAAATATTACATTTCATGCATTCTATTTTATATCATATCTGATAAAGATACAAGTATTAACATTGTTATCTAAACGTCTACAAGTACACACCTTTTAATTGGATGCGATATATTGTAATGTTCGAATTCACGGGTTATATCATAACTGTATATCGTCTCATTTTCAACTGTTTTCTCTGCCATAAGTCCCTTCTCAATGGGGAACGTTATCTCTGCAATAAAAAGTCAAACACGTAGTTAGAGCAAACTACTGAAGTGATGCTGCAAGTAACATAATTACACATATTTTTTTAAAGAATCAGTTTTGTACTTAACAATGTGTCATTACCTCTTAATATCATAATATGATTATAATTAGTAATTTTGATTAATTTTTGATAGTTTTTAGTATAAAATCGACTTGATATGGACTTTTTGACTCAGAAAATTAAAATAAGGTTAGATAATTACCATATGGATTTTTTTTGAATGAACACGAGGCTAAATTTACTTGATCAATTATGATCTCAACAGGGAGATCAAAAAGTGCTTACGATAAATACTCATAAAATTATGTCCAGTTGATTAGACAGATAACTATCCCTACTGGACATTGCTTGAATATCAACTTGTGTGTTGTTGTTTTTTTTTACCTTTATATACATCATGTCTTAATAAGTGATCTCCCTACTGTAATTTTTATAATTTTATTAAGATGTTTGTTATCTTTTAGGTGCATGTATTATTGGCTCAAAATCCTTCAGCTAAAATTAAACTAGAGCCATAACAAACGTGAATAATTCTCCCATTAGCAACATTGACTTTCTAAAAAATAAGTTGTTTGAAGAAAAACTTTGAACTCAACCTTTTATTTATGAAGTTTCAACTGTGTACAAATAATTATTTCAATTAAGAAAACATATTTCTCTAGTAACAGTGACCTTGAGCTTGAACCTAGGGATCCATCAACAATCCCAAGCTAGGTTTCTTCATACGCTTTCTAAATGCCTTATAATTTACAATATCTCATTCCTAACTCTATGAAATATCTCCACATAAGCTTGCTATATACCAAGTTTAATTACAATTTCTGATTGCTAACTCTAGTTATTATCTTGAAACCATTTTCAATTTTAGTTACAGTAACCTTGACCCTAGGGGTTCCAAAAGCAAAACCAACCAGGGTCTTCATATAAGGCTGATATATACGTTCGATTACAATATGTAATTCCTAACTCATTTTATTGTCCAAAAATCATTTTTTCTTTTTTTAATATCAGTGACATTGACCCTATCCCCGGCTTCGCTAACCTTGTCAAACTGAGACAAATCTCAACTTAACATTGTCTCATTATTGACTTAGATTCTTGCTTACCTGAGAAAAATTTCAAGTTGGCTTTTACTTAATTTTTTCTCAACAGTGAAATTTTTGTTCTATCTTCAAATGGGTATTGTTGCTAATCATATGATTAGGCTATGCAACAGAGATGTTTTGTGTCGAAATATGCAGAACTGCTTTTTGATGTAAACTTGCGAAATGGATATATTGGTGATGTAACAGTTGTTATTGATGTTTTTTTACAATTTATAAGTGAACTTTTTCCGAATGCTAATGATAATAATTGAACGAGTATGAATGTAAATTTCATAAATACTACACTCCATCTTAGTTAAAATATGCATTATTTCTTACGAGAAGCAAATATTTTTTGCACATACTATTTAAAAAAAATGCATCAAAATTCGATTATTTAAATTTCAACAAAAACATTGTGATATCACGATTTGATGACGTCATTAAGCAGAGCGAATGCTTTTACTGCACAATATTAAGTCTAAATCGCTTATTTTTTATTAACAAAGATAATGTATGTTTATCTGTTACCATTACCAAACATACAGGAAAATCCACCTATAGTGATTTTTAGTCTGAGACAGCCAAACCCTTGTCTCAATATATCTGAGAAAAATCTCAAATTTTAAGTTACGATTTGTCTCAGAGAAATTTTATTTGAGAAAAATCTCAATCTAAATTTCTGACTTGAGACAAATCTCAGATTTGAGCTGAGATTTTGACTTTGAAAACGTGAGTGAAATCCGGGCCAGTGGGTAAAAAGGCAATCTCAACCAGGGTCTTCATATAAGCTTGTTTTATACTAAGTGTGATTATAATATCTCATTCTTATGATACATTAATATCGTGCTGATACCATTTTTCAACCTTAGTAACAGTGACCCTAGACCAAAGGGGGGTCAAAGGTTGCTCTGCACCAAGTTTGTTTCTCTTAGCTAATGATTTTTTTGTTCGAATTATAACCGCGTGAAATACCTGATTGCTTCAACATGTATTTTCTCTTCCATTTTAAGTACCGTTTTCCCATTTGTGTTCCTCATTAGAGTGAGCTGGTTGTACATTTTATCCCATTTTTTTTAACTGAGCTTTATGAACTATTTTTGTGTAGAGCCAAAGGGGTGTTTGGAAAAAAATTGCATGCATGATTAAGCGGACCAAACGTTTTGATATTGTAGATAAATTGCCAGAACTTTGTCTCCTCGTAAAAGAAATCACACGAGTAGATTATTTGTAAAAAATTCCCGCAACAACACAAAAATTGGATCCAAAAGGATGATTTTTTTGTGACTTGACATAGTTCGATTTTTAGGAAACAAGCATACAGAACATGTTATATAAAACGCGTTTATCAGGGCATGATTTTAAACGATCATCAACATTATAAAAAAGCTATTGTAACCAGGAGGGAATATTGCTTAATATTAATGAAGTTGACAATTCATACATGTAGGAAATAAATTGTCTCCATCAACTTCAACTGTTTAATCACTCTACTGCACCTTTTGTTCTTTTTAAGATATGAAGGGTCCAGTTTTGTTTTCAAATGAACGAAATAACAGATAAAAAGACAAAAAGATGAAAAAATGAAATGGCATGCATACTTTCCATTCACTTTCTATAAGGATCACCATTCACTTTACTTTTGTATTTTTAGACTCATGGCATAATTCAGATTTTGACAGGCTGACAGGCAACCATAGGTTTTATGCTTTGGATCCGATCCAGATTTCTTTGAAGGGACTGTAATTGTTTAATCTTTCCTTACAACTGCATCTACAAGTTTCGTGTTGATACCACTAGTTTAGAGTAATATGCTAGCCTACAGAAAGGATTACGACTCCAAAATGACAGCTTGATAGAGAGATGAAAATTAAAGTATTGTGTTAAAATATATGACCTGCTCTATAAAAATGATTGAGAAATATTTCCGCTGATATCCCTTATAATATGTACGATTCGCATTATAGTTTTACAATTTTAAAATTAGCGATGACCTTTACTGACTGAAAACTTGGCAAAGAATGTGTTATTCATATTAAAATGCATAATGTTACATTAGTTATTCGTCTTTGAGATTATCACTTGATGAAATACTACCACAATTGCACATATATTATTTCAATTGCACTTACTTGTTTTTAGTAAACATAGATTTAGGAAAGAACTTGATATAAGGATATTTTTCGTGACCTAGGTTTTTAGATTAAATGATTAATAATATTATGTATATAAAACATTGTTTGGCTTAGTTTTAAACTTATTCTTATGAGAAAAGAACTTGATATCAGGGTTATTTTAGTCAACTTATTTCTGGTTAAAAAAAATTATGAAAAAAAATAATTTTGAACCTACTTTTAATAGTAAAGAATTTTATTTATATAGGAAAAACATCTGTGTATAAAATAAGTAGAGAAGAAGAATGATAAAACAGGTTGTCTAGTTCTTATTTTAATCTATGAATCTGCAATGTCGTGTACTTCAAGGCTTGATTATCTAGCCTATAAAATAACTGTTTCAAGAAAAAAAAAACATTTATAATGCACTCTATTATGCTCCGGACAAAATATTGGTAAAAGGGTTATAATAAAACAATGGGATCAGATAGTGGTACATTTTTGTTGTCTAGAAGTGTACCAATTAACAACTAGAACTGCCACTGTCATGGCGTGAATACCCCCGCATACCACTTTGTCAGAATCAACAGTGGCCATTTAGAACTCAAGGACAACCACTCTGCCAAATCTGAGGTTACTAAGCCAGTGCATTGCTAAGATATGTATTCTCCATGCTTCAAATGTGAAAATTTTCAAATCAAGTTTTTTTAGTCAAGGCCACTGTGACCTTGACCTTTGACCCAGTGACCTCAAAATCAAAAGGGGTCATTTACTAATCATGACTAACCTCCATGCCAAATATGATGACTGTAGGTCAAAGGAATCTCAAGTTATTGGGCAAACAAGCTTTTTTTAAGTCAAGGCCCCTGGGACCTTGAACTTTGACCCAGTGATCTCAAAATCAATAGGGGTCATCTACTAATCATGACTAACCTCCATGCCAAATATGAAGACTGTTGGCCAAAGGAATCTCAAGTTATTGGGCGGACAAGCTTTTTAAAGTCAAGACCCCTGTGACCTTGACCTTTGACCCAGTGACCCCACAATCAATAGGGGTCATCTACATATCATGACTAACCTCCATACCAAATATGAAGACTGTGGGTCAAAGGAATCTCAAGTTATTGGACGAAAGGGGAGACGTCCGGACGGCCGGTCGGACAAGCTGATTCCAGTATACCACCTTACAACTTCGTTGTGCGGGGTTATAATAATTTAAAACAAGAGCCATGTCAACATGGCCATCCCCCGCCGAATGTGTTTGCTCATTGGAAGAATGTATATGTAGTAGAGCAGATAATTCAATTTTAAGCGGTCTTTTGGTAATGAATACCGATGGCTGAAAATAACAAAGGGCAATAACTGAAACAATAATGCAGGGTAGGTTATCATTCTTGTGTGCTGCACCCCTCCTCAGTAAAATCTATCCACCTATGAAGTTTCAAGTTGTATGATACCTCAAATACTTTTTGAGATAAGCTCCGGACAAAATAGTATGAAAAAGAACAAAGGGCAATAACTCAAATATTTTATAGGAAAGAGTTATCATTCTTGTGCAGAGCATTCCTCCTCAATAAGATCTATCCACCTATGACATTTAATGTTGACATCTCAAACACTTTTGAGTTATGCTCCACTCAGGTGAAAAATTAAGTATGAAAAATAACAAAGGGCAATAACTAAAAAAATATGAAAGGTAGAGTTATCATTCTTGTGCACTGCACACTTCCTGAGTGAGATCTATGCACCTATGAAGTTCCATGTTAATATCTCAAAGGCTTTTTGAGTAATGCTCTGGACAAAAATTAATTTTGAAAAATAACAAAGGGCAATAACTCAAAAATTATGCAGGGTAGAGTATCATTCTTGTGCACTGCACTCTTCCTTAATGAGATCCATCCACCTATGAAGTTTCAAGTTGATACCTCAAATACTTTTTGAGATAAGCTCCGGACAAAATAGTATGAAAAAGAACAAAGGGCAATAACTCAAAAATAATATAGCGAAGAGTTACCATTCTTGCGCACAGCGTTCCTCCTCAATAAGATCTATCCACCTATAACATTTCATGTTGACATCTCAAACACTTTTTGAGTTATGCTCCACTCAGGTGAAAAATTAAGTATGAAAAAAAACAAAGGGCAAAAACTAAAAAATTATGAAAGGTAGAGTTATCATTCTTGTGCACTGAGTCTGTACACCTCCTGAGTGAGATCTATGCACCTATGAAGTTTCATGTTGATATCTCAAAGGCTTTTTGAGTTATGCTCTGGACAAAAATTAATTTTGAAAAATAACAAAGGGCAATAACTCAAAAATTATGCAGGAAAGAGTTATCATTTTTATGCACTGCACTCCTCCTCAATGAGGTCTATCCACCTATGAAGTTTCATGTTGATATCTCAAATACTTTTTGAGATATGCTCCGGACAAAAATGTCGGACGGAAGGACGGACGGACGGATGGATGGACGGACGGACAGAGCGAGAGGACAGACGGACGGAGACTATTTCTATATCCCCCTCCGCCTTTCGGCGGGGGATAAAAAAATGCTACAACAAACAATTAACTTGCAGCAAAATTTTAAGGATGTTAATGAAGATACGTAACAAAAGTTATGATTCTTTAACTGCTTATGTTTTTCCATCCAACAAACCCGTTTAATTTTCTTTCGAGTTATTATCAGAACATGAAAATCAATGAAAGGGAGATTATCACGAAATTAGAGCAACGGTTCTCACTTACTTTCTCTGTACCTATACTTTCAATTTAAAATCGTTTCCTTGATTTATTACAGTAAAATATTCCAGTCAACAGACAAACATACTGACCGACCGACCGACGGAGCCAAATGATGACTCGTATCTTTATAAACTTTTGTCTGAGGTACAAAATTGACGTAAAAAAGTAAGAGTAAAAAGAGAACAGCACATCAGCAAACTTGACATGCCTTTATAAAATTTTACACATTGACAAATATGTTTAAAATAACCATAAAATGTTTAATGAATTAGTTGACAGTTTATTCATTACCAGATATTGTTATATCGGCTTCAATGCTCGTATTGTCATGAAAACCGGGAAAGTCGAAATACTTGATTGTTGCTGTCATTTTGTCGTCTGCTGTGCGAATGTAATATCCAATGGCTTCTCTTTCGGCGTTATAAAACTGCAAATTTGAATAATAAACGTCAGCTTGACTCATAACAAACTGGCTTAATATATGTTCATACGATATTCTAAGCATTCTTAACGACAATGCAAATATAATTTTGTTCTGTTAGTCACTACAACCTGTTGTTGACATGTTACTGCAAAATAAACGAACGGAAACAACAGAAATTTAATGTACTTAAGCTAATCGTGAATGGAATCGCGAGGCACTTTAGTACGTGAACGATGTTTACAGATTAATAATATCTGCCAAATGATAAAATTGGAATATCCATCCCGATGGGACACGCCAAGTTAATGGGTTCATGAGGCATGGATATTCCGATTCTAACCGCAAACATATGCCAGAAAGTTTATCTTTCATAATCTACCATATTCCATCATTTTTTAAATTACTTACCTAAATAAAACATTTTACAATGGAAATTGTTGTCATTACACCCGTAAATGTTTTCTTACATTAGCGTACGAAATTACAACTTCATTAATAACGGTAAAATTACGTCACCCTAAGTATTCCATTGAATAGCATACGACTCATTTGGCACTCCCTATGCCACATAAAATTTCCGGCATAGGAAAGAATAATGGAAACACCAGTCTGATACACAAGAAAAATGTTTCTTCCATATCAAAATAAAAACAAATGTATGACTTCACTTGTACATAATAAAAACACTTCAGAGCTGTAGTTATTTTAAAACAAATTGCCATAAATCATTAAAATTCTGACCACGTAGACTTGCAGTCGTTGATCTTTAGACTTTTTAAACAGAGGGGTCACAAAATATTGACAAGTTCTGCATATTCTCAATTTGTTTGACATATGAATAGTTTTCCAGAGGTTGTTATGGATCAAATTTTATCGAGGTTTACTAGATTTTCATGGAATTGTTTTTTTTTTTTGTTTTTTGTTTGTTTTTTGTTATTGGAATTTCCGTCGCATTAACACAGTGTAGGTCATATGGCGACTTTTCAGCTTAACTGGTGGAGGAAGACCAATTATTTCAGGCTTGAACGATCACCTGAGTAGAACCGCTGACATTCCGTATGCTGGCTGGATAGCATGCTCACATGAAAAAAATCCAAATACTCTGTTGGGATTCGAACCTAAGGCGGTGAGGGACATGCGACTATTTTTACTGAATAACAAAGTGTATAGACAAACTCAGATATGTTCCACATGAAAGCAACATTCAACGGTATTGCTTGAGATATGTCCCTTACCACGCCAACTCCCCAATTATCAGCATATAACCTACGACCGATAAATAAATAGGGTTTTTTTTGTTAGATTTTATAACCTTAACAATTTAATATTTTTGATCAAATAACATTTTTTTTCTCTTTAAGTTGACACAGTTTTATCTAATCTTTTCTTTTTCTTTCTTTTTTGTCAGAGAAAACATGATGAGCTTTTTTCTTCTTTGCTATTTTAAGACTTGGGTAGATTATCTTAAGTGTCAAAACAATACCGTTTATCATTTTTTTTGCGAGTATCTGATAATCGCTATATTTGCGTGCAATGAATGCCGCAAAAATTATATTCGCTCAATTGTCCTTCATTTAATAGTTACATGGATTTCGCTAGTTTATATAACTCTATTTTTCTACTTTAGATTTCCTTCTAGTTTAGACGTATATATTTTACAATGTGATACCTACAAATCAATTTTCGATGTCCATGGTTGTTTAATTAAATATTTTGTGTTTTTGTCTTTGTTGTTGTTTTTTTCTTTTACATAAACTTTCAGTGGCACAGTGAGCAAACATGTATTGTTACGCTCATTTGACTGATTGCCCGATAAGATAAGATAATTAACACATTGCAAGTAGGTTGACACACATATGCAACTAAAAATAACATGTCAACAATAAGATCGATACAATAAGTGTGAAATACCGAATATATACATCAATAGAAAAATTGCGATCAAAGTTTTAAATATTAAAACAATAAATTTCTGACCAAAATTTGGTCTGAAAAAAATAAAACATGTAAAACAAAATCGCTAAAATCATATTATTGCCAAAATTTGCCCTACACAAAAAGAACATGTTATACTGTAATATTCCATTAAATTATACAAAGAGGGATTCGCATATTTATTTTGAATCCTAACATTTTTAGTCATACAAAATACATTACTAAACGTGTACAATGATTATAATATGAACTCATAAAATATGAAGGTACATATGACTTACCACCTTGTAAAATAAAGATTATCATTAAAAGTAATAATATTTGTACAATTTTCTGGTTACACATAACTTAAACCAATAACCTTCAGTTATATTCAACGCTACAACGTTTCCATTTAAGTTATCAGTGCTAGTGTTTGTGCATGTGCTTATAAAATGTATTATACGACATTTTCCGCCATTTTAACGTTCCGTTACTATTATTACGTCATGTCCGTTGTCTTAATATTTATCCAAATGAATGAGTAAGCCGAAACGTCGATAAGTAAGAGACACACAATTAATTTACATTCACCTGTTAGTGTTGATGTTTTTATCGTCAAATATGTGTATTTCTAGGAAAACATATTCTTGACCCATTTCGAAAGCGGACAATAACACGATAAAAGGTCACTTGAATTTCAAATAATTCGGTTAAATATTGTTAAATATTGCTAAACAATAATTAAGAATCAATGTAAAGAGATTGAATTATTGATGGTGTTATTCGTCCCATACCGGTTAAAAAGGAAGGGTCTTTACTATCCGTCCGTCTGTCTGTCCGTTCGTCCACAAAACTTGATCTCTGATAACGCAAAAAGTACTGAAAATATTTTTATGAAACTTGATATATGGATAGATAGCAGTTTGATTATGCACGTTTTTTCCTTTCTTTTTTGAAAAATATGGTTGCTATGGCACCAAACAGACTAAAAAAACATCTCAAATTTATCACATAAACTAGATCAAGTGATAACGCAAAATATACTGAAAATATTTTTATGAAACTTGCAATATAGTTAAATGGTAGTCTCGGAATTATGCACGTCTTCTTTTCTTCCTATGTTGAAAAGTATGTTTGTTATGGCAACAAATAGGCTTTCAATATGGCAAATATAACAATAATTGTGATTACTCAAAAAGACTGTAAACATTTGTATGAAACTAAAATTATGGACTTATTGCAAAATGGAGAGTATACACATTATTTCAATTTTGATTTTATGTTGTATATTGAGAGCTGTCCTACTTGCCATCGGTGACCTCGTGAAGATATCTGATTCCAGTTTTTAAGCTTTTACATTAGAAGTTTTTTATTTTGTAAGGTTTTCAGTTCAAACTTCAAATATATGTTTGTTGATAATTTTAATAGGAATAAAACAGCATTCCAGCATTAAAGAACTAAGATTGCATTATGCCGTGGGCATGTAAAGTAATATTTTAAGGCACTTACGTTTTTTACTGCATAGTTGATACCATTTTCGAGTTCATTTATTGTATACACAGCAAAGTCACCTTGTGCACGAGGATATGGCAGCGTTTCCCAGCCTGTTAGAAAATTCAATGGAAACTGAAATACCTTTTCACAAATAGCGTTATTAAATTTTGTATACTATATCTAATCAAGAAATGCTACTATGTCTTTCGTATCGATACAAAATTTACAATTTGTAAGACTTCACAATCAAATAAATAGTATCTTGCTTTTGAAGAGAAATGAATTTCTTTATGTCAATTGTATTGAATTCGAAATGATTGCAATCTTTGCTGCGCTTCCAGAAACAAAGCATGTATAGCTAAATAAATGTCATACTGGCATCCCAATGCTCTAAAAGAAGGTGTCGAAGGACAAGATCGCCTCTGTTGACAACTGAGCTAAATTTCCCTCTATCATCCGCAAAGTGGAACATCTGAATTTAAGGAACAAAACAAAACCAGGTTTCAATAATTAGTGAATGTAGAAATAAAACTAACAAATCGAGTGGTTAGGGATCTTGATCAGTTGAAATGTCGTGCTCTGACATCTTCATGAAAGACACTTTGATGTTGGTTCAAAACTCAAATTAAATGATCATATGAACCTGACTTAAATTCAATTTAAAAATAAACATTTGCATTAATAATTTATCTTATTCCCTATGCTTATTTCAGCAATTCATCGGTAGTGAATCGGATGTGAAAACCTTTGAGTGATAAACGTGAGAAGAGTGAAGCATATGAAAAACCATAAATGATAGTAATGATACAACACTTGTAGATAAAAAAACAAAATGTTTTAAACTTTCTAACCTGGTGAGTTATTAAAGCAACCTTGATGATTTGCACAAAGAATACGAAGCAGTACATAAAACGGAAATTGCATGCGTTTTTCTTCCACTTGAGCCCTGAATTGAAGATAATCTTCAACCGTCTTCTAAGTTGTTTGGTGTGTTCTTCGCAATTAGACTCTTGACAACAGGCGAAGGATCGTGTACCTGAGAAATAGGTCAAGGTGAAGCCCCTTTTTACTCCAGAGGCAAAATTTGAAAACAAGAGACAGCTTAATTTGAACAATTTTTGTACATTGTCACCAAGGATTTTTTTTTAATATTAGTTGAATCAGTGGTTATGATGTTGTTCTTATTTAGCTGTGGCAGCCATTTTATTAATCCCTAAGTGAGAGGTGAGCAAATAAAAAGGCGACTGAAAAAGAGAAGGAAAACAAACATTTGACATGACTGGGATTTAATTGTCAACCTCGATCCCCTTGTGTGGGGGCAAATTTTGCCAATTTTGACCCCGGGGCTTTCATTTGAGCAAACTTGATAAACATCCACTAGAAGATTTTTACGCAAAATATCTATGTTCTAACTGTTTTTGATTATTAAAAGAAGATTTTTAAGTTTTTACTATAATCATATATGACATCCTGGGGCTAGACCAATTTTGACCCTAGGGCTTTTTTTTATCAAACTTAGTAGATGTCTAATAGAAGATGTTTCATGCCAAATATCTAAGCTCTAGCTCTTTTGGATTTTCACAAGATTTTTTTGTTTAGTTTGTACTATATACATATTAGGAAAATCAATGACCTATGGGGTGGAGCTAATTGTGACCATAGGGCATTTATTTGAATAAACTTTGTAGACATTTAATAGAAGATGTTTCCTGCCAAATATCTAATATATAGTGCTTTTGGAATGTCACTGGAGAGTTTTTAAAGTTTGACTTTATACATGCATATATAAGAAAAATCAATGACTATCACGGACTGGGTCAATCTTGAAAATAGGGGTTTTATTTGAACAAGTTTGAGTTTTTTGTTTACTTGATTGGGTTTTACGTCACACCGACACAGTAGAGGTCATTTGGCGACGTTCCATCTTTACTCGTGAAGGAAGACCTCAGGTGCCCCACAATGCATTATTTCAGGCACGAACGGGCACCTAAGTAGAACCACCGACGTTCCGTAAGCTAGCGGGATAGCTTCCTGACATGAAAGAATCCAAGGTCCCAGGTCCCTGTCTGAATTCGAAGCCACAGCGTTAAAGGCCAAGTGGTTTGAAGTCAACAACCTTATTCACTCGGCCACGGAAGCCCCTACAAACTTGGTAAACATCTACCAGAAGATGGTTCATGCCAAACATCTGAGCTCTACCTCATTTGGATTTTCACAAGAAGTTTTTTAATCTTTTACTTTCTACATTTTAAGAAAATCAATTACCCCTGAGGCGGGGCCAAATTTGACCCTGGGGCTTTCATTTGAACTTGGTAAGCATCAACTAAGATGTTTAATGCCAAATATATAAGCTCTAGCTATTTTGGATTGTCACAAAAGGAGTTTGGTTGTTTTTTTTTTAAAATTTACTATATACATGCATATTAATGAAAAATCAGGGACCCCCTGGGTCAGGACCAATTTTTACCTTGAGCTTTTATTAAAATTTGGTAGAAATTTGGTAGATATACACTAAAAGATGTTTCATGCCAATTAATCTAAGCTCTAGCTCTTTTTGGATTTTTTAACCTGAAGATTTTTCAAGATATAGTGTAAAAAGACATTTTGTTGCCATGTCAGTCAGAGTTCTTAATGGATGTTAAACTTTTTGAACAAATTTTGAAGAACTATATGCAAGGAACATCCCTGCAAAGTTTCAACAAATTTGTCTAAGAGGTTTAGGACAAGAAGTTGTTTATAGAAATTTTTGACGCAGGGACGGACGATGGACGACGGACAATGGGCCATCACAAAAGCTCACCTTGAGGTATTGTCCTCAAATACAAATACAAAAAGGTATAGTAATATTCTTATATATCTGGAAAACAGAATGCTGTTTTTTAAGTTCACGAAAGAAATAAACTCACTTCTTTCAAAACAAACAAACGTTTTATTTTGTGCTTAAAACAAGTTTAAATGAAATTTCCTCAATATTGACTTTAATTTTGAAATCTAAAACTTTAAGGTAGAATATGAATTGTATACTTACCAATCTCTTCTTCTTTCTTTGTTTTTTGAAAAAGAACAAAACTTATCATGGTCATCATAATAACAATAATCACCATCACCACCCCACCAACGACAACAACAACAACCAACAACGGCACAGTCACGGGAACAACAAAATTAACAACATCATGATAATTACAAGTATATAGCATTATAGCTAGCGTCATTTTAGCAATGAATGTCAATTTCGTCTTTATCACTATATCAAAACATCGTCATTAGATTGTGGAAGCAAAACAAAACGTGATTGCGATACTTTATAAAAAAAGGTTAGATAATTGAAATTATTATATGATCTACAAATAGCTTTCAAATGACTTTCTCAGATTGGTTAAGAATTTTTAAGATGTAATTTTTTGTACAAATAACTAGTAAATATCATAGTATGTTCCCTGTTTTTTTCTTCTAAAACTAGATGTGATGAGTATATTCACCGTTTTTTTTAGATAGATATCCATTTAAAGATGTTTCATGCCAAAAATCTAAGCTCTAGCTCTTTCGGATTTTTAAAAACATTTTGTAACAAAAGTATTTATGTTGCCATTGAAACCGGAGTTCTTTATGGAATTTAATTTTGTGAACACTTTTGGTCACGCTCATGCAAGGTAGGTCCCTGCAAAGTTTCAACACATTTTGCAAAGTGGTTTAGGATGAGAAATTGTTTAAAGAAATTGTTGAGGCACGGATGGACAACGGAATACGGACAATGGGCCATCACAAAAGTTCACCTTGATGACATTGTCCTCAAAGACAAAAAGCTTTAGTAATATTTTTGATATACCTTGGAAACAGTTAACGTGTACGTCAATGATGTTTGGAATGCATGTCCTGTAACAATACATTTCATAGTGCTTTGCCATTTCCATTCATACATATTTTTGTCAACTAGGAACCGAACAGATAAGCTTTTTTGAAATTATTTTATTTTTTTCTTCATATTATCGCTCCATGACAAGAAAAACAAGAAGGCCAGGATGGCCTTGAAATCGCTCACCTGTATATAGGCCCCTAGGCCACGGCCAATTTTAAACCAGGGGCTTTAAATTGAACAAACTTGGTAGACACACATAAAAAGGTGTTTCAGGATAAATATCTAAGCTCTACCTCTTTGGGGTGTTTCATAAGAAGACTTTTTAAGTTTTTACTATATACATATAGGGAAAAACAATGACTCCACCCCCGGGAGGGCCCAATTTTGACCCAATGGCATTTATTTGAACAAACTTGGAAAACACTCACTAGAAGATATTTCATGCTTAGTATCTAAACTCTAGTTTTTTTGGTTTTTTATCAGAAGATTTTTTAAGTTTTTACTATACACATATTTAAGGAAAATCAATGACCCCTGATGCGCGGCCGGATTTTAACCCAATGGCCCTTATTTGAATAAACTTGGTAGACACCCATAGGAAGATGTTTCATGCTAAATATCTTAGCTCTAGCGGTTTGGGTTTTTTTTATAGAAGATTTTATAAAGTTTTTGCTTTATACATATAGGGAAAAAGAACGACCCCACACGCCTCCCCCGGGAGGGGCCAATTTTGACTCAAGAGCTTTTAAATGTATTTGAACAAACTTGGAAGACAATCACTAGAAGGTATTTCATGCTTAGTATCTAAACTCAAGCTTTTTGGGCTTTTATAAGAATTTTTTTTAAGCTTTTATTATAAACAAATAAGGAAAATGAATGTCCCCCAGGACGGGGCCAATTTTGACCCAGGGCATTTATTTGAACAAACTTGGTAGACACTGTTTCTTTGATGATGTTTCCTGCCAAATATTTTAGCTTTAGCTCTTACGGTTTTCTAAAAGAAGATATTTTAAGTTTTTTTCTTTTGGTTGCAACCCGAGTTCTGTTTGTAATTTAATTCTTTGAACAATTTTTTAAAGTTGACTTTCAAAGAAACATTCCTGTGACGTTGACAGCGTTGATAATTTGAGATCGGAGAGAAACATTTCAATCATGTCCGGGAAGAAGTGAGCGGTCATTCTCCCTCTGTGGTCAATTAGGTATTCGGACGGTTTCCGAAGGGTACTCGTCCGGTCACCCGGTAAAAACTCTTGGCGTCTTCATTCTGGACACCGGTCGATATTCTAAAGGTACCCGGCAGACTACCGTACGATAAATGTCCAATAGCCTTCCGTTATCTGGCCTGTTTGCAACAATCGTACGGTGACGGTAAAGTATACGTGCGATATCTGTTCGGCTGTCGGACGGTATACGTATGGCATGTTATCCCATTTTCGGCCTTTATTCACATCCCCTCTTTTGTTGGCATTTTTCCTTGCCTTCTTCTCCTCTGATTTCTTCCCCCCTTCTTTGCTTTCTGTTTTGGAAGGTATATTACACTCTGAAATCAAAGTTTTCCATAAAAAATTGTAAATGTAACTTGAAAACTTTTATAAACCTCCCTGAACGTGTGTGAAAACTGAGAGAATACGTGTGTGTAATTGGGTTTCTAAATACTCGCCATCAGTTGCCCGTAAAGGCGAGTCCTCTAGAAGAGTATAAGTCGTTCTAGATGTTGGAGGACAGCGCAAGATACAGATAGCAAGATGCCCTTATTTCAGATAAATATGAAAAACAAGATCATTAAGGAAGGCAGCGTTCAATGAATGTAACCCCGACACTATCTAGCAAGACAGGATGACCAACGTCAAAGAGCCAAGCAGGACCTCAAACAATCTCCTCCCTTTTTACCTATCCAAGTTTAAGCACTCGTACAGTGGACCTTGCTTTAAAGTCTCGTCTGAAACATTCCTAGTAATTTCAGTTTTCAGTTGGTCATCCTGGGAATCGAACCCACAATGTACAGAAAACAAGTCTAGCGATTTTACCGATTCAGATCTGCACGCTGGCTAATGAGAGAATGATTGTGCTATTTATGATTAACCCTGAGGACTTTGGCAGTAAACCAACTTGAATATTCATACCAGAGCACTGTTCAGCCACCGCATCGTTCCCGGACAGTCTGCCAAGCAGTTAAACAGTAATAATCTCTTTCACTTTCGCAAGGTACTGATAACATCTGTAGAACGAAAGTGACCTTCACCGTCGTCCGAGAATTGGAAACGGGTCAAAGGCTTAACCTGCCGTAAGGTCTGTTTAATAACCCAAACGCTATCCTTACGGACATTTAAGGACCATACGTGCGACGTACTGAGTCCATCAGGGTTCCGGTCAGTATCCTGCCGAGACGTCTTTGGTGACCGGTCGGAAACTTGAGGAATATTTGGCGCCCAGGAGGTAAAAATTCTAACCGGTATGTAACCGATAACAAAAGGTGTCCGGCCGGATATCGGAGGGTATTTTACCGTGTCTGCTACGTTGCGCTTGCGATGTACCGGATGCCGGAAGAAAATAACTGCACCAAAATTCTCCGATTATCCGTACTTTGTGACAGGTGAGCTAAAATGTAGACAGCCAAACATAACGTCTAGGGTTGGAAGATTAAAAAAGAGCTTGAAGATAGGGGGACAAAAAACAATTATTTCTCTCTCATTTTTAGCTCACCTGAGCACAACGTGCTCATGGTGAGCTATTGTGATCGCCCACCGTCCGTCGTCGTGCGTCGTCAACAATTTCTTTAAACAACATCTCCTCAGAAACCAATGACTGCACAGCAACCAAACTTTACAGGAATGATCCTTGGGTGGTCCCCTGCAAAAGTTGTTCAAATGGTTCCGGTCTGTTGCATAAGTAGGTCACGGGGCCAGAAAAGGAGTTGAAAAAAATGAATTATTACAAAATCTTCTTGTCTGAAAGTACAAGGCCTAGAGCTTTGATATTTGGTATATGATATCACAAATAGTTACTCTACCAAACTTGTTCAAATTATAGCCCTTGGGTCAATTTTGGCTCTGCCACAAGGGGGTCATAGGTTTTCCTTATATGTGTATAGTAAAAACTTAAAAATACTTCTTGTTTGAAGGTACAAGGCTAAGACCTAAGATAATTGGTATATAATAATATCTAAAGGTCCTCCACCAAAGTTTTTCAAATTTTAGCCCTGGGGTCAAAATTGGCCCCGCCCAAAAGGGTTATAGATTTTCCTCATATGTATATAGTAAAAACTTAAAAATCTTCTTGTTTAAAGGTACAATGCTTAGAACTTAGATATTTGGTATGTAATATCACCTAAATGTCCTCTACCAAAGTTGTTCAAATTATAGCCCTTGGTCCAAATTGGCCCGCCCCAGGGGGGGGTCATATTTTATCTTTATATATATATATATATATATATATATATATATATATATATATAATATATAATATATATATATATATATATATATTTATTGTTATAACTAAAAAAAATCTTCTTGTTTGAAGATACAAGGCTTACAGTTTAGATATTTGGTATATAATATTATCTATAGGTCCTCTACCAAAGTTGTTCAAATTATAGTCCTGGGGTCACAATTGGCCCCGCCATAGGTTTTGCTTATATGTATATAGTAAAAACTTAAAAAATCTTTACCTCTGAATGTACAAAGGCATAAGGTTAGATATTTGGCATGAGGCATTGGGTAGTTGAACTCTACCAAGATTGTTCAAATTAAAGCCATAGGGTCAAAATTGAATTTAAGACCAGGTAACTTTACTTTTGTATATCAATTGCATTAGTAATCAGGTGAGCGCATTGGGGCCAATGACCCCCTTGTTTTGCATATGGACCCTAACCAAAGGACGAGTCAATTTCACGAAGTCAGTGTTTAATTGTTGATTTCTTACCTCTAGTATAAAAGGTACACGAGACTCGTGGGGTTGGAAAGGCTTATCTAATACATCTCCGGCAAGTAATAAATCTGTAGCTCTAAAAACAGAAAACATATAAGATCGTCACTGATTCGGCATTTATGGAAAAAATATAATTCCTCAAATAAATTAGAAACCATAAAAATTACTTGATCGAAATATGAGCGTTTAGAAAATTTAAAGCGTTTAAGTCCTTTCCTAAACACAGAATGATTTCCTAAAGCAACAAAGAGAATAATTATGTTAATATTCCATTTTATGCATCCTACATTGTTTCAAGATTCCTTAACTTTGAATTTGTAAGGACACAAAGATGGCCAACATCAGTTCAAAAATTGTCATGAAGAATGCCAATCTATCAAATCACAGACAATTCTAGAGAACAAAAGACTAGTGAATATGCTTTGG